TTAAAACAAAGAGTACCTTGAATTAATATTGTGCATATGCACATTCACACATACACATAAAAATTATGTCCTCTCAAGCTACAAAATGTGGAACATTCTTCTAAAAACAGTAATGTGAATTAGAAAACTCCACCAGATCAGTTTAAGTACATTAAGTAGAAAAATATGCCTCAAAACAAATGGTAAATTAGGGAAGAAAGGTCAAATAAAGGTTTTGTCACATACTATTATAGTTAAATGTAAATTATTTTTCAGTGTTACATTGCCACCTATTGGTGAATTTTTTACATAAAAAACCATAAAGAGAAAAGTTGATAAAATGTTTAGAACTGTCCAAGTAAACCTCTATTAAATCCCTGATCCAGTAGAAATAGGAAAGGTAACAAAATGTTGTCACTTTCTTGTTCAAGAAACTGGGTCTCTCACGCCGTGATGATTACGATCTCTATGATCATAGTTCACTGCTTCCTTGAACTCCTGGACTTCAAGCAATCATCCCATGTCAGTTTCCTGAATGGCTGAGACTACAGGTGTGTGCCACCACACCTGGTTAATTCTTTTTTTTTTTTTTTTTTTTAGATATGGGGTCTCACTATGTTGCCCAGGCTGGCCTCAAACTCCCAGCCTCAAGCAATCCTCCTGCCTTGGCCTCCCAAAGTATTGGTATTACAGGTGTGAGCCATTGCACTCAGCTGATTCTTGTCACTTTAAGCTACTAAGGCTTGGGATAATTGTTATGCAGCAATAGATAACCAGAGCAGCTAAGTTCAAAGATGAACACTACTATCTTAACTCTAGTCAGCTCTAAATACTGTTTCCAATCCTAATACGTACTCCCAATTTTCCAGGCTTCTGATCTAATAGCCTACCTTTTAAGTTTACAACCTCAGCTCATCCTTGAGAATCTCATACCCAAAACTGTCTAGTTCTGACATTTTGCTTCCATCTTGAACTTCAATTTAGACTTTTCTTTGACATTACACCCAAACTTCAGTCTTCACATACTCTGCTGCCATTTGTATGATTCTTCACTACCACTAATTTGTTCCAAATCAGAGAAAATAAATTGGGCAGAAAATGGAAAACATGTACTGGAAAATTAAGTGTTATACTTAACAGATCCCTTCTAATAAATCTAGAAGTACTTAACAGATCCTGACACTTTAGACTTCAGTGGCAAAGAAAATTATATCTAAATACTACCACTAAACAGATCCTGACACTTTAGACTTCGGTGGCAAAGAAAATTATATCTAAATACTACCACTAAACCTTAAAACTTACTATAGTTTTAATATATTCCATGTTATACATGATGGATATTAGAAGATTCTTGTTGTAGATGGTTACCAAGCTATGGCAGAGGAACTATCTCTAATACTCATATATACTCTGGAAAGGAAAATAGAAGTAGAGCTTCAGTTTCCTGAAGAACTTCCAAAAAAACCTAATGGAGAAACCAGCCCCGCTTAAGTTTTAACAAGGGTAATCTAGGTATTTATTTTTTTAATTATCAAAACAAACAAAAAATATAACTTACTCAACCTGATAAAAGACACCTATTAGAAATCCACAGCTAATGTCATACTTAATGGTGGAGAACTGAAAGCTTTCCCTGAGATAAAAAACATGACAACCAACTGCTCTCACCACTTACGTTCAACATTATATGGAAATTTCTAAACAGGGCAATTATGCAAGAAAAAGAAGTTAAAGACATTCATATTGGAAAGGAGAAAGTAAAACTATTTCTACTCATCGACTGTATGATTTTCTTAATAGAAAACCCTAAATCACGTGCACACACACACAACTATTAGAACTTATAAATGGACTCAGCTAAATTGCAGGATACAGAATCAGAATACAAAAATCTGTTGTATTTCTATATACTAACAAAGAACTATCTGAAAATAAAATTAAAACAATTTCATTTCCAATAGGCTCAAAAAGAATAAAATATTTAGGAATAAATTTAAGAAAATAAGTCCAAGACTTGTACACTAAAGAAATTAAAAGACCTAAATAAAATTTCATTACTAAAAGAAATTAAAGATCTAAATAAATGGAAAGAAATTAGATGTTCATGGAGGGGAAGATTTAATATTGTTAAGATGGCAATATTCCTCAAATTAATCTATAGATTCAATGCAATATCTAACAGAATCCCAGCTAGCTTCTTTGAGGAAATTAAAATTTCAAGGAACCTCAAATAGCAAAACAACCTTGAGACAGAAAAATAAAGCTGTAGGACTTCCTCCTGATTGCAAAGCTTACCACAAAGCTACAGTAATTAAAACAATGTCACACTGGCATAAGGACAGACATATAGATCAATAAAATAGTACTGAGAGCCTAGAAATAGACACATACATCTATGGTCAATTGATTTTCAACAATGGTGTCAAGACTCTTCAATGAAGAAAGAATAGTCTTTTCAACAAATGTTGTTAGAATAACTGGATATCAAAATGCAAAAAATGAAGTTGAACTCCTACCTCATACCATGTACAAAAATAAACTGAAAATAGATCATAAACATAAATACAAGAGCTAGAATTATAAAATAAGAAAACAGGTGAAAAAATTCATGACCTTTGATTAAGCAATGAATACGTGGATATGCATTAAATGCAAAAGCAACAAAAGAAAAAATAGGTAAATTAACTGTAATCAAAATTTTAAAGATTAGTACTAAAAAGATTATATAAAAAAGTAAAAAGACAACTCACAGAATGGAAGGATATATTTGCAAATTATATGGGTGTGTTTACATTTGTAAATGTCAATTTTCAATAAAAGGAACCATGATGTCTTCAAGAAATGGCTGACTCTGGGGCCGGGACAACATAACCTGAACCTGGAGCATCCTGTAATGCCAGCAAGTAATAAAGTGCTCAAAGCCAAAAGGATAGGGACATATCAAAGGGTAGAGGACCTAACCTTAAAAAAAGCTCCCAATGGCCAAAGTAAAACAATTTGAGCAAAAAAAAAGTAGTAATGGTTTATAGTCCAATGCACAAACTAAAAATAGATGAGTATATAATTATATAAATCAAAGGCTAAAATAAATGGGTGAGAAAAGATAAATTTTTCTTTAAAAAATCCAAATTTGATGTGTAGATACTACCCACTATAGGAGATGGAGCTTAATTTCTGCCATCCTTGCATTCAGGTGGGCTAGACCGAGTGACTGGATTCCAATGAACAGATGGGGGACAGGTAAAAGTAGCAGTTCTACAGGAGAGAAACCTGACAAACTCGACCCTAACCAAGTGATGAAAATTAACATCATCAGTGACAGCATGTGCTTATCATGTACCCCCGATATGAGATATGATGTGACAAAAGGGTATGTCACCTCTGGTATATTCTTTCAAAACCTCAGTCTAATCTCAGTCTAATCACAAGAAAAACTATAAATTCAGATTAGTAAATACTCTACAGGATATCTACCTGGACGGTGCTCCTTAAGATTGATAAGATAATGAAAAAATAAAGATTGAGAAACTCTCATAGACCAGAAGACTGTTAGAGACATGATAGCTAAATACAATGTAGTACCCCAGATAGAAAAACTGGTGCACTACAAATGCAGTTCAAGTTATTAATAATAATGTGTCAACAATGTGTCAATTTCTTAGTTTTGAAAATCTACCATGGCAATGTAAGATGTTAACAATGGAGGAACCAGATGTTGGGTATATGGGAACTCTCTGCACTACCTTTTCAACTTTCATGTAAACAGAAAATTATTCCAAAATAAAAAGGTTTTTTTCTTTCCTTTTTTTTTTTTTCTCAGATGGAGTCTTGCTCTGTCACCCAGATGGGAGAGCAGTGGCACGATCTTGGCTCACTGGAACCTCCAGCTCCCAGGTTTGAGCGATTCTCCTGCCTCAGCCTCCCGAGTAGATGGGACTACAGGCGTGCAACACTATGCCCGGCCAAATTTTTTTTTAAATGTCACTAAATGATAAAACATGGCAATGACAAATGTTACCCTTCGTGTTAGAAGCTTTAATTTCTTTTTTTTCTTTCATTTTTTCATGAATAAGTACACTAAGCACCTGAAATTGTTATATTAAACAATTTCAAGGAAATCTTGTGGAAAAAAATCTGCTACAATGATACTTGACACTAGCTTATAATAATTTTTCAACAATAAACCAGCCACAGGATTTTTAGACACCTATTTTAATCGTGGGAAAAAGATAAACTTATTATTAGGCCTTAGATTTGTGATGGCAGTTATTTTGCTATGTATTAACTACCTCATTATCTTTAAAAAAGAGGCAAAGCCATGGATTCTAAAGATTACTATCACTTTGACAATGACAATTACCCAGACTTTCTCAACAAAAATAAAACCTCAATAGTGTCTTAAAGTAATATGATATGACAAGATAAACATATGAAGAAAAAAATTGCACAAATTAATAATCGTAGATTAAAAATTAATTTTAGTTTTGCAGACAGTACAACGTGTTGCTTTTCCAAGTGTCAAATATATCAACATCTGGCTCTCACATCAGATTACTGTCACATAAGGATAGACAGTATTGAAAATACTAACCTTTCATACTGATGGCCCCTTAAAAGGAGATAAGCAAGCAGCAATTCTTCTAATGACATGAAGTTTGGAAAGACACAAACTGTTTTCAGGATATGGAGAGAGCTCTTGTTATCACCTAGTATTTGGATAGCTGGAAGAATCTTTGATTGCAACACAGGCATCTGATGCATTTTTAAGTGTTTACAAAGTATCCCCTAAAACCCTAAACACTTTCAGACTCAGCAAATAAATTCTTAACAGCTGGCGACATTAAGGGTGATTTTATCTTACTGAAATACTAAGAATTTTTTAAAAGGTAAAAACCTGAAGGATAACCAAAACAAAGTCCAGATACTTAGTAGTGGTGCAATTAGTATTTGTTAAATAAAATATAAACACATCTTTGATTCAACTTGCTTCTTTATGTCACTCTCTATTAATACCTTACCTGGATCAACCAAAGCTTTGTTAAATATTTCTTTAAGTTTCCGACTCTTCACATTCCTTCCTTGAGCAAGATTTCTATACATCTCATAGCCTATGATCATAACACCACCATCTTCTTGCCACCTCTGCAGCATGTAGCTTCTCTCCTGAGGACGTTTCACAGTTGCTAATTCAGAAACCTTTTGTGGGGAAATAAAGATTTTTTTAAGTAGCTACTAAAAACATGTGAATACTAAATATTCCCATTGAAATATGCATCACTAGTAATTAAAAACAGTTTACGATATGAATTTCATGTGACTATTTTAATAATAGAAAACATTTAAAATAAGTTACCTCAAGCTTCTCATCATCTTTTAATCCCTCTTGCCACTTCTCAAATTCATTCATCCAATTCAAAGCAGTATTAAGAGGACAAACCACTAACGCCGTGCTGAAATCCAGTTTGTCACACAAAAGAACTGTATGAAGAAAACTTACTACCTATAAGAAAACAGATTGTCACCTTCGTAAATATCCAGAAAAAAAGTAATAAATTAAGCAATCTTACAATGTTATAGCTTTGTTTTGCTATAAACAATAAAGCAACCAACCAAACTGCCAGAATTTCCAAACCAGGCAAGGCAGAGGGAAAGAGATAGTAAAATGCAGAAGTTCAAATAGATGATGTATCAGGCTCTTCCAACTCTAAAGCTCCATGATTCTATGAGCAATGTGAATAGTATAAAATGATCCCATACCAATACTAAGTCCTAGGTCTCCACAAAATGTCCCTATAGTCTTTCAGAAAATATCATGGCTCATTTAGAAGAGAATCATGTCACATAATATTTTTCCACTTTAATGTGTTCTGACCCATTAAATCTATAATTACTTTATAGTTTAAAAGTACAAATACATTCACCAATTTTACATCTGTTACAACTCCTGCCATTTGGAAATGCAGTAATTTTAATAGTAAAAGATACTTTACATCATACTTTACTTTTGTCATTACTTTAACATCATAAGCCATTAAAAGTTGCAAAAAAAAAAAAAAAAAAAGTTAATTTCTACTTTAGAATCTTTGCAGTTGTTGGTCATACCTGAAACCCCACAGCCTCGCTTCATTAGGACCTCTGCTCAAATATTACCTCCTAAAAGATGCCTTTCCTAACTCAATATCCTCCCTTAACATTCATTTTCTGAAAGTACATATTTTTTATTTGATTAGCAGCTCTCTCCTCCACTAGAATACAAGCTCCTTGGAGACAGATCTTGTTATTCTTGTTCACTGCTTTATCTTCAGCCCCTACGACTGTGCCTGAAACATAATAGAATCCAATATATATTAATGAATCCACAAAAACAAGATACCTTCATATTCTTCAGCTCTTACCTGTAAAGTCTTACCAAGGCCCATACAGTGGGCAAGAATGCATCCTGAACCTGGAGATTTCTTTGTTTTTTTCACAGACTCACAGCAGCAATCCCACATAAACTGAACACCTAAAAATAACAGCTTCATTAAGTTAAATTTAAAGGTCCAAGTTAAAAACTTCCTTTATATAAACACATCAAAAACATAACCAAAACTTCTAAGAAACAGCATTAAAGAAAACACTTAGCTAAAGAATTTCTTAGACGTAAATGGGATTTTTTCCCACCAAAGTAAACCAGAAACAAGTTAACACAAATATAGGACAGGGGGACTTTCCTTCATCCTCTCTAAGCTATCCACAGCAGATGTTCTCTATTCCCTGAGATGGTTCAAAGAAACATAATACTCCTCTAAAAGAGAAACATGGCCGGGCACAGTAGCTCACGCCTGTAATCCAAGCACTTTGGGAGGCCAAGGCAGGTAGATCACTTGAGGTCAGGAGTTCGAGACCAGCCTGGCCAACATGGTGAAACCCTGTCTCTACTAAAACAAAAAATAAGCTAGGTGTGGTGGTGGTGTGCACCTGCAGTCCCAGCTACTCAGGAGGCTGAGGTGGGAGAATCACTTGAGGCCAGGAGGCAGAGATTGCAGTGAGCTGTTATAGCACCACTGTACTCTAGCCTGAGTGACAGAGTGAGACTCCATCTCAAAAAATAATAATAATAATTTTTGTAAAAAGAGAACAACTTTATCCAAAGAGAGAATAGCTTCCTATCAAAAATACCTTTGAGTTTATTGAGTCAATCAGGGAAAAAAAAAAACCCAGGAGATAATTTCATCATCTTTTCCTTTATTCAATAGTAAACATTGAGAAAGAAAGGGGCCTAGCAACTCAAAAAGTAGGAACTACAGAACCTCCCTTACTAATTAATTCACATAAACACTCAAAACTGACTTACTGATTCAACTCTAATAAAGCAGAGGGTAGGAACAGTTTGGTATTGTTCTAATACAAATGTAGGAATATTATTTTTAAAATACCTGAAAATGGCTGAAATAGCATTTCTAAAACAGGCTTTTAGCTAGCTACAGCTCTTCCCAACCCCTAGCTGCCCTTAGGCCAATCTTTGCTAACTAGGTGAAACCCACTTGCTATATCTACCCATTTTTAAGTAGCACTTCTCTCCCTTTTTATAATACTCATTATGTTTGCAATCACCCAATTTTTTTCTTCCTCATTTGTTTATGAGCTCCATAAAGGCAGGGGGATTGTGGATTACCCACCCCAATCAATAATTTACCTCCAGCACTTAGCAGGATGTAAGGCAGCTGCCTCACATCCAAATATTGGTAAAATTTAACTAAAAATTATGGAATCATCTAATAGTTTCTTACCATCTACTTGATGGGGTTTCAATTTGATAACCATATTTCTATGAACCTGCACTAAAGGTTCTTTGGTTTCTTCATCTTCATCTAAAACCAACTTGGTTGTTATTGGACACTTGGTGGGTGAAGCATCTTCAATTTCTATCACCTACAAGAAAAGGAGTTGTTGATAGGTAAGCTCAAAGAAATCATTCCAGCAATGGTCATTCTTACTAAGGGAGATTTTCCAAAATATAGACACATTTACTCCCATACCACAAATCCAATTGTATGATTTGGATATGTGTACCCACCAAATCTCATGTCAATTGTAATCCCCAGTGTTGTAGGTGGAGCCTGGTGGGAGGTGGTTGGATCATGAAGGTGGATTTCTCACGAATGGTTTAACACCATCCCCTTTGGTGCTATTCTCGTGACAGTGAACGAGTTCTCACAAGATCCAGTTGTTTAAAAATGTGCAGCACCTCTCCCTCACTCTCTTGCTCCTGCTCCCACCATGTGAGGTGCCGCACTCCCCCTTTGCTTTCTGCCATGATTGGAAGCTTCCCGAGGCCTCCCCAGAAGCAGAAGCCACTATGTTTCCTGCACAGCCTGCAGAACCGTGAGTCAATGAAAACTCTTTTCTTTATAAATTACCCAATCTCAGGACTAATACACCACTATTTTGCTTCAATAAAGCCAGGACAGAGCCCAGAGTTTTATGTCTTCTAAAATCAAAACTCTCCAAAAAATTTTAAATCACTTTGATAATGTCAGTAATTTAGCTCAACAGATCTCACCCTGGGCATTTCGACACACATTTATTACGCAGAGTTGTGAAAAAAGCAGTGTTCCCTGTTGCTGGTTGCTATGCCAAAAAAAAAAAAAAAAGAAGAAGAAGAAGAAGAAGAAAAAGAAATAAGAAAAAGAAGAAGAAGAAAAGAGGGAGGAGTGGAGAGGAGGAGGAGAACTCCAAACTAATCTACGGTAGTACCATTACAATTTGAATGAACATGTGGCTCCCAACAAAAGATAGTTCTATTCTTCTAGAGGATATTTGAAAATGTGCAATCGTATTTATGATTGTCATAATTATTGGTCAGAGCTAGAATTTAATGTAGGAGGAAGGGAAGGCAAATACAAACATTCTATAATGTGAAAGACAGTCCCAAACAAGAACTGTACAACTCAGGATGTCAACACGACTACCACTGAAAAACACTATGAATACATGGTGTGAAAAGAAAAAACATTTAGAAACACTGGTTTCGGAACCACAGGCTCAAAAATCATGATAGGAACATATAATACCTTCTAATTACAAAAAGGAAACAATTATCACAAGTTCCTTATTTAAAATAAAACTTAAGTAGATATAATATATGCACACAGGTAACAACTGTGTGTTTGCATATATTTTTTGCTGTCTTATCCTAATCTCTATCCATTACATAGTATATTCAGTAACTACATAAGATAGGTACAAGTATTACCATTTGACAGATGAAAGAACTGAGGGACAGAGAAGTTAAGTAACCTGCACAAGGTCATACAACTACTGAGTATCATGACACTGAGATTTACATAGAGGATTGATCCCCCGAGTCCATGCTCTTAAACATTACAAAATACTAGTTTAGTAAAAGAAATGCTTGTAATAAACAGTTTTATGGTTCCACTGAAAAAAAAAATAGAAACTTGTGATTTTAAAATCACAAAAACATTACGCAGTTGGGTGTGGTAGCTCACTCCTATAACCCTAACACTTTGGTAGGCTGATGGGGGTGGATCGCCTGACGTCAAGAGTTCAAGACCAGCCTGGCCAACATGGTGAAACTCTGTCTCTACAAAATATACAAAAATTAGCCAGGCTGGTGGTGGCTGCCTGTATTCCCAGCTACTCCAGAGGCTGAGGCCGGAGAATCGATTGAACCTGGCGGCAGAGGTTGCAATGAGCCGAGATTGTGCCACTTCACTCCAGCCTGGGTGAAAAAGCAAAAGCTCCATCTCAAAAAAAAAAAAAAAACTTAAAAAAATTTTAAAAACAAAAACATTACGATGGGGAAGAAATAAAATTTTAGGAACTTTTTTCTTATTTACAATTGAAACTAGTAACAAATGAATTTGTTAAATGTTCAATATAGAAATTCTCAAACATACACAAAAGTAGATGGAAGAGAATAATAAATCCTATTACCCATCACTCAGCTTCAAAAATTATCAACTTAAGGCCAGGCGCGGTGGCTCACACCTGTAATTCCAACACTTTAGGAGGCCGAGGTGGGCAGATCATGAGGTCAGGAGTTCGAGACCAGCCTGGCCAATATGGTGAAACCCCATCTCTACTAAAAATACAACAACAACAACAAAAATTAGCCAAGCGTGGTGGCACGCACCTGTAGTCCCAGCTACTCAGGAGGCTAGGGCAGGAGAATTGCTTGAACCTGGGAGGTGGAGGTTGCAGCGAGCCATGATTGCACCACTGCACTCTAGCCTGGGTGACAGAGTGAGACTCCGTCTCAAAAGAAAAAAAAATTATCAACTTAAGGCCAGTTTTGTTTCACTGACAGCATCTTACCCATTATCCAACTCCCCAGATCCCACAAATCATTTTGGAGCAAACACAAGAAAGTATGCAATATCATCTATAAAATGTTTGTAAATGTCTCTTTAAAAAGATACTTCCTCTTTGTAAAACCATAACATCATTGTCACATCCAAAAAACTACAAACAAGTCACAGATTTGCAGTAAATTATCTGAATAGATATTGTACTTACATAAAATTGTGATATCCAAAACCAAGATTAACACTGAGAAATAGTGTGGTGAAGCAAAAATAGCATAGGCCATTTAGACCCAAATTCCGTTTCATCAAGCTATCTAAACCCTCTTAGCTTCTGTGTCTGAATCTGCAAACTGGGAACGATTATCAATAGTTTCCACAAGGTTGTTCTGGAGATTGAATAAGGCAATGTATGCAAAGTATCTGGCATAGGCTAAGTATTCACTAAATTATTACTGTGTCCTAACCTGGATGTGTAGTAGCTTCATATCACTGTGGTAAAGCCATTATATAAAAATGGAAGATTCCCTAAATATCTTATCCTGTTTACAAGGTGTGGTACACAGAATCCTGAAGTGGCCCCAGAATTACCAACATCTGATATAAACACCTTGCATAATCCCCTCACCTTCTGAGTATGGTTGAGACCTGTAAATATAATTGGGCTATCATTCGCATAATTGGCCCACTAATAAGCTGACTCTGATTTAATCAAAAGGGAGATATTCTAGGTGGGCCTGACCTAATCAAAGTGAGCCCTTTAAAAGATTGAAATGCTTTCCTATTGATCTCAAAGATGATGCAATCTGCCATGTTGTGGAGCGAGAACTCTAGTAGCTAAGGACCTAAGTGTAAGAACTGAAAGGAACTAAATTCTGCCAACAAGTGAACTGGAAAAGGATACAAAGTCTTACATGAAAGAAAAACTTGAGTTAACATCTTAATTTCAGCTTGGTGGGACACTAAGCAGAAAACCCAGTAGAGTCATGCTCAGCTAAGCCATTCCCAACTTCCTGACCTGTGAGACAAATCAATAAATTTGTCTTAAGAGGTTAAGTGTGTGGTACATTTTAATGCCGCAATAAAAAACTAATATACAAGGCTTTAATTAAGATTTCTGAACCATATATTAATCAGTGACTTGATGATACTTTTTTTATTAAGTGCTGTCTTCAGGATTGAGGATTAGTGTATCTTCATCCTAAATGCAGGAGGAGATAAGTTATAAAGAAATCATCTACCTATTAGTGACTAAGTAGATCTGTTTATGCACTCAAGCTACAATACAAGGAAACTTTATTTAACTAATAATACTGGGTATACACCCAAAGGAAAATAAATCATTCTTCCAAAAAGACACAAGTACTCTTATGTTCATGCCATGCTATTCACAATAGCAAAGACATGTAATCAGCCTAGGTGACCATCAATGGTGGATTAGATAAACAAAATGTGGTACATATACACCACAGAATACTATGCAGCCATAAAGAAGAAAATCATGTCCTCTACAGCAACCTGGATGCAGCTGGAGGCTATAAATCTAAGCAAATTCACATAAGAACAGAAAACCAAATACCACATGTTCTCACAAGTGGGAACTAAACACTGAGCACACATGGACATCAACATGGGAACAACAGACACTGCGGACTACTGGAGGGGGAGGGAAGGAAGAGGGCATAGGCTGAACAACTATTGGGTACTATGTTCACTACCAAGGTGATGGGATCCACACCCCAAACCTGAGCATCACACAATATACCCAGTAACAAACCTGTACATGCACCCCCCCCATCCCGTATCTAAACTAGAAGCTGAAATTTAAAAAATAATAAATACACAGCAATGAAATAGGAGAAAAACTTAGGACAAATAATCACTTAAGGTGTAGTAAAAATAAATACAGACATGAAATGTCTCCCATATCTGAATTGAAGGGAAAATAAAGGAAAAAAATCACCTGACCAAAATATTAAAAGGTTGAGCCAAACTTCTGCTTCTAGTCATGATAGTTTATTAGGAACCAGGTTTACCTTCCTGCTGTAATCTAGTAGAAAAGTGGGCAAAATATACGAAAAAAATTTTTTTCAGACATTGAATAAAGACACCACAGGACCCTGATCCCTGAAAGTAGGAAAACCAACAAGAAGACCCCTATATTCCCCTTGAATTGGTGCCTAAAGGATCAGGGAAAAACGATTCCCAAGGAGAGCACTGGAGATATATTAAGTTGAAGAAACAAAGATCAGGCTAAGATGACTGAAGTTGCGGGGCAGACTACAAAGAAAAAAGAGCCACACAAAAAGAACTCAAAATCGAGACAGGATTCACTGCGAGTCATGGCTGAACATTAAAATGCACACATGAGGAGTGAAACTTTGTGAAGCCAGGCAGAGCAAGACCAAGAAGCTGTGAGCTGAACAGCTCCCAGCGATCACATGGTACTGGGAGGCATTTGATTTCAGAGGAGGCACAGTAGCCTCTTCACGTATAACCCAGGGCATTCAGTAGAGACCACAAAGGGACCAAACCTTAGCAGTGGGAGAAAGCAATTTGTAAATTAAAGAGTATTGAAGAAACGCATTAACCAGGCTTTTTAAA